GTGCCACAAACTGATCACCTCCATGCCACACCGAACTGAGGCAGTCCTACAGTTGGCATCGCCTGTGTTTGTACGTGTTTGTGATTTTTGGTTAAATATGTGACCTCTCCTGAGCTCAGTTTGGTTGTTTAGGGATATTAGCCCTCATTGAGAAAAACCCTAATGAATGCTTCACCATGTCAACACGGTAAGCTGAAGTTCCTTTCAATGATTCTGGGGGTCAGAGGTCAATATGAAGTGGTTGCTAGGCAAACGGTTTGGGAGGAGGTAAACAATCATGTATTGCCTGCTTTTGCTTTCCAGGAAAAAAGGATAATAGGTCACTACTTGTCTTAACCTGTGATAGATGTTCCCCCATGTCACAAAGTTTCACAAAGAATAGATTGTTTGGTTTTATTTAGGTCCGAGGCATGACTATGCTTTTTCTTAAAATGTCCTTCATCTGTCCCTGTGTTTGTTATAAATGAATCCTGAGGTATTTTTTAACATTCATTGGTCTCTTCCTGGTGTGATAGATGGAGGGGTCACTAGACCTGAGATCAGAGCATAAGCCTCTTTGATTTCTAATTTTTGCTGCTGCAGCTACAGCTGTGATGGGTCTTATGTTATGTAACCGCAGCGCTGCATGACTCACCAGTCTTAACCTTGTACAAGGTGGAGATTTCTCCAAATTCACAGAAACTATGCTGATATTGAGCTCCTTGCAATTTAAGATTTAATCAAACGGCTTAAATGCAGGGGTGACATAATTTATCATCACTTATTCTCAATTTAATTCCATCCTCAATAGGCTGTGATTATTACATACATGTGCCATATTCAGGTGTATAAATTAAACAAAACTGAAACTTTGTTCACTAAACATTTTGTCATTAAAATAATGACAAAATGTAATTACCAATTGTATGAAGAGGTAATTATTTTTTTATTTGATTAGATTTTTTTATATTCCATTTTAATTTTAATTCTAGTTAAAGTTTAAGTAATTGTGTTGTGTTATTTTGATACACCAAGTTAAATATTGCCTTAAAGGGGTCATATGATGATAAAGAAGATCTGTAAAGTTGCGAAGACTAAAGTCTCAAATCCAAAGAGATATTCTTTATAAAAGTTAAGAGTCAGCCACACCTATCTAAAATGGCTCGTTCTAACACGCCCCCACATATCTACGTCACGATGTGGGAAGATTTGCATAACGCCGCCCAAATGTTCACGCAAAGAAAGAAGGCGTAACTTTTATTCTCGCTGTAGTATTGTTGTTGCCGCCGCCATGTCGTGAAGGCGCTGTGTGTTTCGTTGTGAAAGTGAAACTACTTTGTTTGGCCTTCCAAAAGAGGACGATATCTGCTTCGTCATGCCTGGAGCTGATCCGTGCTGGTCGCTGAGGAAATACAACAACTTTGCGCTGTGGATCGCCGGATCGGCTTTCACCGTGGACGAAGCGGAGTCCAGCCCGGGGTCGTCACATGTGGCTCCAAACGCTCCTTCGTGGAATCCGCCGGCCGCGCCATTCTCAAGCCCCCGGCCTCTGCTCACTCTAGGCCGCCGCCGCTCACTCTAGGCCACCGTGTGTGACGCTGTGTTTCGTTGTGAAAGCGAAACTACATTGTTTGGCCTTCCAAAAATGGACACGACTAGAAATCAGTGGTTAAGTTGTATTTACAACACTGTTCCAGAACACTTCAACCCAAATATTAAAATGTGTGCAGCACATTTTATGGAGGACCGTTTCCTGATCCTGGTAGAGTAGACTACAATGCCGGCTGTTCTGACTCACAGACTGTAAGTACGTTTTTTATATTTAAAGAGTTTTTATATTTAATATTTTTTATATTTAAAGCAAGTTTTTTGAGCAGTGTAGAGTAGGGCTTGTTGTTTGTCATTTCTCCGATCACAAATGCAGACATGGTTTTATGTTTACGCGGCGAGATGCAACGCAACGCGTAAAAAGACAGTATAAGTCATTATAATCCATAATTATGTCCCCACTGGATGCAACGAATGCCTCATTTATAAGGGGTTTTCATGTTTTTGAATCATTGCTCCGGCCTGACAGGGCATCATCACAGTATGGTAGGGGCCTGCCTGCCTGTCAATGTGTGTATTTTTTCTATTCTATCTGTTTTCTTTTTATTTATTATATAAAAAAACAACAACAACAAAATAAAATCCCTTGCTACGTGTACTGCGTTAAGCTAACTGAGACTTGTTATAGTACTTGCATATCATTGCTCTCTTGTTGATTTTGATTGCTTCCGTTGTCCTCATTTGTAAGTCGCTTTGGATAAAAGCATCTAGGGATGTAACGATTAACCGCGAGCCGGTTGAAAATCTAATTAAATATGTGAAGATTCAATTGGTTGAGATGCTAAACAAATCGCGATTCAATTAGGGGTAGGAGTTTATATGAATGTACTGTATGTCTGAGGGGAACTTGCTGTCTTTCGATGGTATTTTTTCTTTTCATCTTGCCTCTGTATAATGCATATTAAAGTTCATAAGTGCAGCACTGCTTTGTTTACAGCAGAAACCAAGGAAACACGTTAAGCGCCACCTGCTGGCAGTGAGTGAATCTGCGTCTCATTCAGTTCATCTGCTGTTTCTGTTTCATGCAGATATTTTTTTTATGCATAGTTTTACAAAACTGAAGTCAAACCATTCTGTTTTTGCTTCAAATTTCGAAATTATACAATGTAATTTACACTGAACACTTTTGATTTTGCCCTCATTTTTCATGAGCTGAACTCAAAGATCTAAGACTTTTTCTATGTACACAAAAGGCCTATTTCTCTCAAATAACATTCAATTCACGGGCAACAGCTCTGGTGGACATTCCTGCAGTCAGCATGCCAATTGCATCAAAACTCCCTCAAAACTTGCAACATCTTTGGCATTGTGCTGTGTGATAAAACTGCACATTTTAGAGTGGCCTTTTATTGTGGCCAGCCTAAGGCACACCTGTGCAATAATCATGCTGTCTAATCAGCATCTTGATATGCCACACCTGTGAGGTGGATGGATTATCTCGGCAAAGGAGAAGTGCTCACTAACACAGATTTAGTCAGATTTGTGATCAATATTTGAGAGAAATAGGCCTTTTTTGTACATAGAAAAAGTCTTAGATCTTTGAGTTCAGCTCATGAAAAATGGGGGCGTTTATAATAGTGTTCAGTGTAGATTAAAAACTGCTCATGTTGCATGTATGCAGCATCTTGACTTGATTAAAATGCAGTGGTTGCCTCTAATTTAAAATGGAAAGAGCACAGACAAAGCCTTAGTTTGTTTATATGAAGAGATTTATTTTATTTGTGTTACTTATTTATTTGATTTGGGGCTTGTTTAAAAATTTCAATTTAGTTTTGTTATTTACATTTACATTATATTTAAATTTTGTTATTTAGCAAATGCTTTTATCCAAAGTGACTAACAAATGAGGACAATAGAAGCAATCAAAACCAACAAAAGAGCAATAATTTAAAAGTGCTATATTAGTATATTATTATAGTGTTATATTTCAATTTCACAAAGAAACGTACAGTATTTTGTCCAAGCAATAATAAAAGGACACTTTTAATTTATAATTTGTCTTAAAAAACTGTTAATCGAATCGGGAAATCAAAATCGTGAATTGAATCGAATCGTGAGTTGAGTGAATCGTTACATCCCTACGTCTGCTAAATGATTAATGTAAATGTAAATGTATTTGCATTCCTCTCCACACCCTGTTTGCACAGACATGATACGTCATCAGCGCGTTCGTTCTACTATTGCAGACCGAGCGAGAATGGAAGGTATTATTATTGTAATATTATGCGCTTTGTACTGTAATGTTTTCTCACCGGTGAATGAGACATAAGGTAATCTGACAGCGTTGCATTCAACCCTCCACCAACACCATCTCTCATCGCTTAGTCGCCAGTTAATCTCTGGTCTGCCTGTGCGCGTTCATGTGTTTTGGAGTAGGTGTGGCTTTGGAGAGTAATTTGCAGGGAGGGTGGGATCTTATGCTTTCAAAGCTAACTTGCTATTTCTAGCCTCGCCGATATTGCCTACACTACCTGCTAATTTTCAGTCTGTTATTACAGTATCTTTTAACTAATAGAAGCAAATAAAATAAGAAGTTTATTTCACCTAAAGTTTTTGACCTAACAGGCTGTGACTGCAACAAATTTGTTAGTTTCCTACTTTTTATTTTTGAGGCATTGATTGCACTGCTTAGCTCCGCCCACAGCGAAATGTGATTGGTCCAAAATCTGTCTCCACACAGCATTTTGTGGACCATCTATAATTATTTATTTTGCCAGTTTGAAGTAATTCATATTGGTGAGAAGTTCTCAATGGTGAACGTAGTCCCACAGCCCCAGCTGAAACTTGTTTCTTAAATTACTCATACCGCCTGCGGCTGTCACAGCAGAGCAAACTTTGCTCCTGTGGGTTGATGTAAGATTTGTGTGTCTCTTCAGCCCATGTCTGTCAAGTTTGATGAAATATTGTGAATGTTACACTCTCTGCGTCAGCACTGGATCACCATGAGAACTCTATTTGGAGCTCAGATGTGGTGTAAAGGGCCCATTGATCTCAAGGTGTTGTATTACCGAGACAGCAGAGAAGTCTGAAGTCATAAGAAGATTTATGTTGCAATCTAAATGAGAGGATAGTGTTGAAATTGAATAGTGTCACTTCAGTGGATTATTAAAGTAAATTTCTCACTGTAAGAATATTTACTTATGTCTATATGTCTGTGGGCCCAATAGGAGTTTTACTGCAAAGTTTAGTGACCTTTATTCTGTAATGTTGGTTTTGTAAATTCTTAATGTATTGTAATTTCTTCTGTGTGCAGCGGCCCCATGCTGAGTGCTTCAGTCCATTTGTTATAACTGCCCTTTCTGCATTTGTTTTACACTGCAGTTAGTTTGCTAATGGGTAAAATGTAAAGCATGGAAATTGAAGTAATGCATTTGACTGTCAGATGATAATATTCTGGTTTGTTTTGTGTGCAGGTGTAGATCCATCTCTGCAGATAGAACATAGGATCCAAACGTCGTCACAGGTGGCCCCTCCAGGCTCCAAACAGAACAAGCCCCGGGTGGCAAACTCAAGGGATGAGCGCTTCAGATCAGGTAGGAACATTTATCTGCTAAACTCTGTAATCATGAGGCACAGATACCAATTTAGTGGTGCTGGCAACACATCCCCTTGTGAAAAAGAAGAACATGCTTATAAAAAGAGCATTTAATATATGAAAATAATATATTTCTAAAAGAATATACCTACATGTGAACTGAACTATCTCTGTCCTCATAGACCTTCATACAGAAGCAGTACAAGCAGCCTTGGCAAAGTATAAAGAGAGAAAGATGCCAATGCCCTCTAAGAGACGCTCTGTTCTAGTACAGTCTTCAGTTGAAGCGTGCACTCCCCCAGGTAAACACACACACACACACCACAGACACGAACAGAGCTAGGAGTGGAAGGATTCTTTACAATTTTATGGGAGCACTTTCTATGAAGGCTATAGCAGAAAATATTTCGGAAGTGTTTTTTTTACTTTATATTTAAATTTTTCAGCTGACAGCAGTTGACAATGTGCATTTCAGTCCTTGATAGTATCAATATGTTTTGATCTTCTGAGCCTTGAGAGAACAATGCGTAGTTTTCTGAATAATAGGCTCATTATTTACACAAAGAGAATGGCTCCTGACCACTCAGTTCCCAGACCACCTTCCCACACGCCTGTATATGGAGATGGTTAACAAAGTTCCAGCTTTATTGACCCACTGGCTGCATATTTAGTTATCACATTTAGTTAACACACAAACTTTAGCTAATCCAAAATGGATTAAAATGTACAGTTTGTCTGCTACATTGGTGCTGCTGGCATGAGCGAAGCCTTCTGCTGAAACATATTCAGATTTACAGGTATTAGGATACATGCTGCTCCTGCAAGGTGAAGTGGAAAGAACCCTGTAGTAGATCTGGACATGTGGTGCTGGGGAGGAAGAGGGCTAAAGAAAATAGGTCAGAAATAAATATGGTTGCATATATACGAAAGAGAGATTGTTTGGCTTGGGCTTGTGTAGTTGTGGGCTTGGAAGAACCAATCAGCAAATTTTCATACCTATTGGTTATTTAGTGCTGTATCTGTGTTGGTGTTATTAAAACAATAAGACTATATTTGGCCTTGACTTCTTTATGATTACACATTATTACAACCTGTGGTCAGAGAAGCTCGTCTCCTCATATTTGTGTAACGTCTTTGCTTTGTCCGTCAATTTGGATTACGTTTTTGTCTCTCCCTTTATGTTTAGCGTTAATGAGTTTCTGAGTCTTGGTGTCCTTAAGCACTCTTCTGTCCTTCTTCGGTTAGAATGATGAAGTCAGTGAAAGGTCAGCGGGATTAAAGGTTCAAGGGTGGGGTCAGATCAGCATAACGGGCCCATTCAGGGTCGCCCCCTGTGGGAATTGGTCATGGTCCGCTAATTCTTTTGTGCCCTGGACGCAGTAATGCGCACACACACATAAAGTGGCTAAGCTGTCTGACTGCCCCGACGGAGATGATCTGATAACCCATCTGGCCTGTCAGATACCCCTCTTACCCTATGCCCCATAACCTCTCACCTCATTCTTGACCCAAAAGGGTAAAAAATAAGCCATTATTTACTTTATTGATGACAGACTTAAATGACTTGTGCCTTATATAAGTCTTCTAAATAGCATTGTGTGACGAACAAATCAAATTTTAAGCCATTAATAGCTATAAATTGCTATAAATGCTAAGAAATCTTACCCTTCAATCCTACTCTTCACAAATCTTATTTTCATCTCCATATAATCAAACATTTCCTCTTGCGATCAGTCATGTGACATGCGAGAACCAATGGAGTTTGGTATCACTGACATCAAACCTAGCAAACCTCTATATTCTATAGCAACAGAGCAGCTTTATTACAGTGTGACTGATTCGATTTAACTTCTGTCTGGATCTGAACAGCTTGGAAAATGCTGTCTGACCCACTTTCTTGGCCATTTTTGATGTTGTCTCTCATCTTATACGGTTGTACATTCATTATCCTGTTAGCTCCTGATCTGTTGAGTCCTCTGAAGCTATGCTGTTTGTCCTCTGGATGTGACCTCATACTCTGTTCTGGTGGAGTGACTGATAAAGACGTTTTAGAAGAATTATTTCTGTTTTAAAGGTCAGGTTTTCAGTACAGCAGTTGTTAAAGTCTTAAGTCTTCGTTCTGTCTTCTCTTGACACACCTACTCATTCCAGTTCATTTCTGCCTCATTCTTTCTCCTCGTCGTCATTCTCAATTTCTCTCTCATATCACTTCTCTTCTCCCATGACTCTATTTCATGCCTATTGTCTCTGCCTCTCTCTTTCTATCTTACTCTTTCTACATCTGTGTCAAGGTTACTCTCGGAGTGCCTGAGGACATGAAGTGGGAATAGAATTACAATAGTTCTCACAATAATGAGCCTAGTTTTTTTTTTGCTAGCTGCTTATAAATTATTAGACATGCAGAAATTTTAAGAGCAATTCAGATCACATCTAAACAAAAATCCCTAAATCTGACCAATAATAGTGATATAGTGAATAATGGTAATAGTTTGATTAAAAAAATTATTTCATTCCAGTTCATTTCTGCCTCATTCTTTCTCCTCGTCGTCATTCTCAATTTCTCTCTCATATCACTTCTCTTCTCCCATGACTCTATTTCATGCCTATTGTCTCTGCCTCTCTCTTTCTATCTTACTCTTTCTACATCTGTGTCAAGGTTACTCTCGGAGTGCCTGAGGACATGAAGTGGGAATAGAATTACAATAGTTCTCACAATAATGAGCCTAGTTTTTTTTTGCTAGCTGCTTATAAATTATTAGACATGCAGACATTTTAAGAGCAATTCGGATCACATCTAAACAAAAATCCCTAAATCTGAACAATAATAGTGATATAGTGAATAATGGTAATAGTTTGATTTAAAAAAAATAAATAAAAACAATAATATTGTGAAATTTTATAATAACTGTTCTATTTTAATATATTTTCAAATGTTATTGATTTCTGTGTTGCAAAGCTTCATTATTCCCGTTTTCAGTGTCACGTGATCCTTCAGAAATCATTATAATATACTGATTTGCTGTACAAGAAACATGTCTTGCTGTTATTATCAATGCTGAAAACAGCTGAGCTGTGCATGTTTTTGTGCAAACATTATTTTCAGGATTTTATGATGAAAAATTTCAAAAGCATTTACTTAAACTAGAAATCTGTTGTAACTTTAAAAAAAAAAGTTTTTACTTGATCACTTGATCAATTTAATGCATCCTTGCTGAATAAATATATTAATTTCATTAAAAAAAATTATATTTTTGTTTGTAGCGTAGCGTATTTTACAGAATTTTGAGTACATTTTGTATATATTGATATTTATATTATTGAATATTGGTCTTGGTCCACCTTGTTCTCTAAATTAGCATCCTCATTAGTCATTTCAGTTTCAAAATGTATACAATTTCTAAACGTTTCTACTCGAACAAATGCTAAGCTTCGGGGTTTGTTGAGGGTTCAGGACTGTTTTGAACTAATAATAACAGGTATCAGGCACCCTTCAGTGCAAGTAGATTATAATTTTCATAAGAATGCTGTTTTGAAGAGATACATTAGACTAATGCCTTTCACATTTAATGCATGACTGTTTTTTGCTTAGTGTCTGTCTCCTAATCTGCTGGACACACTCCATAGTAACTGCTCCCTGTAATTGCACAATTAATGTTAAATGAATCTGCTACCACCTACAGGCTTCTTGTCAGTCAATCTAGCTCTCCTTTGTCTTTTACGCTTTCCTTTTGTCCCTTCTTTTCTCTGTTAAATTCTGTGTGTGTTTAAGCTGTTTGATGATGAAAAAATACAATAAATATCGAAAAAGTAAGTGCTGAAATGGGTTGTGCAATTTTGTGAGATGTTGTTTAAAAGAAAAAGTATTACATGCGTATTAAACTTCATTATGTAACTCAATTAATGTTAAATGAATCTGCTACCACCTACAGGCTTCTTGTCAGTCAATCTCGCTCTCCTTTGTCTTTTACGCTTTCCTTTTGTCCCTTCTTTTCTCTGTTAAATTCTGTGTGTGTTTAAGCTGTTTGATGATGAAAAAATACAATAAATATCGAAAAAGTAAGTGCTGAAATGGGTTGTGCAATTTTGTGAGATGTTGTTTAAAAGAAAAAGTATTAAATGCGTATTAAACTTGTGTTTTTGTTACAAACATGATTGGCACCTTAAAGTGTGTGATTTGTTCATTAGTGGTAATAACCTAACGATCATTAGAGTTTACTTTTCTGATGGAGTTAATTGATCATGAATTCTCACTGTTGTTACACTTTTTAAATCCCAGCAGAAGATGCCTTATGCGTGATGAAAAACTACAGATGGTTTAGCTATGTGACATATTTTATCCATTAATTGGCGGACACCTGTTATTTTCTATGGCATTACGTTTATAATGTATTTATAATTGGGAAAATGGTGTGTGTTACCGTAACTGCAGGCCTCACATGCTTCGTTTCTGACCACATGAGCATTACATCAGATGTATTTTCCAGCTTAACCTGCCGGCAGTTCTCATCAAAGTGATATTTTAGTCTGGACTGAGAACAAACGCTTTTTGCTTTCTCTTCCACGATGATCATATATTAGTCCTGCTGACGTTTATGATGGAAGCTTTGAATGGCTTTTATTTTTTCATAAAGACATTTTACAGTACAGTGGTTCCCAAAAAGTATTTTTTTTTAAAAAAAAGAAGATTTTTAACTCTGAAATGATAAAACAATAAATATACTGTTCAAAATGATGATGGATGGAAATTAATGTGACATTGGTTATGAAATTTTAGTGGATCATGTTGATGTGTTTACTTGAGGAGAACTTGACTTCATGCATCCATTAAAAATCACCAAAACACCAGCTGACTCAAAGATACTGAGCAAAAAAATCATCCTAACTTTGAGTGCCGATGACACTTGACATTTTGTGTTTAATGAAGTGACATTCAGACATTTTTAAGTGTGATTCAGGAATCCATTGTATAGGATGTTAGTTTCATATCTTAATTTCTGAGAGTGTGGGGTGAAGAAAGGCAGATTTTCAGATGTGTTAGATGAAGGGTAATAACTAGAGTTATGTAATGCATTGATTGTTTGAGGTCTTAAAGCTCTGAAGTGATAATCAGACTCTGACATGTTATCCAACTAAGTCAGTCTCCATGTAATGCCTTTTTTTATATTTCCATATTGGTTAACTTATAATGTGAGGTTCAAAGATCTGCATAATCTAGATTCAAAACCAACTTTAAAAGAAATTGAGAGTTTTAGCAGAGCAGTATTTTCTTGTGTTTTCAAGAGCTGCTGAATGTTGATCGCAGTATATATGATATATATATATATATATATATATATATATATACTGTTATTTATGTACTAAAAGATGTAATTAAAGTTTTCATTACTATTTTGAATGTGTTTTTGTACTTATACTTCATTTAAACATTTTTTTAAATATTTATTTCAGTTAGTTTTCATCTAATATTTACATTTTATTTAATTTCAGATTGTCTTAATTACAGAATTTAACAGTTTGAGTTAACTAGTTTCCTCCAGTTTAGCTGTGGCATCCAATTTTTTCTTTTTGTTTGTGGACCCCTAATCTTGAAACTGATAATCTACCATATGATCAGACTTACAATTTCACATGTAAGTTATTGTAAACTTGCATTAAAGTATAGACCAAAATGACAATTTGACCTGGGCTAGTAAGTGACCACCCAGAACATCCTAACAACTACATACATGGCTTCATTAAATAATTGTTTAAAAAATAAGACTAAATACCTTTTTTAGGTTAATTTTATCCATTTTAATTTCAAATACTTTCACAGTTTCATAAATGTGACCCTGGACACAAAACTTGATTTATACTGAATAAATAAGCTTTCCATTGACGTATGGATTGTTAGGATAGGACAATATTTGGCCGAGATACAACTATTTGAAAATCTGGAATCTGAGGGTGCAAAAAAAAAAATCTAAATATTGAGAAAATCGCCTTTAAAGTTATCCAAATGAAGTTCTTAGCAATGCATATTACTAATCAAAAATGAAGTTTTAATATATTTACAGTAGGAAATTTACTAAATATCTTCATGGAACATGATCTTTACTTAATATCCTAATGATTTTTGGCATAAAAGAAAAATCGATCATTTTGACCCATACAATGTATTTTTGGCTATTGCTACAAATATACCCCAGCGACTTAAGAGTGGTTTTGGTGCTCCAGGGTCACAAATCACTGTTTTATAAAATCTCTCTTTCACTAATCACATAAAACATAACATATACACTTTTAAAATTTTGTTTTAATGACAGAGTGCTGATTTTGAAGTAAAACTGTTCCACCTAACCATTAGTCCTCTTGTTCTTGACTTCCCAGACACCTCCTCTGCATCAGAAGACGAGGGCTCGCTGCGCCGGCAGGGCCGGATCGCCTCCTCGTCTCCATACCAGGCGCATCCCAGTGTAGAGCACTGGTTTAACAGAGTCATCCAGGGCTCCTCCACCTCATCGTCCGCATCTTCCACCTCCTCCCACCCCGGAGGAAGACCCCACCATGCCACAAACGCCACCTCTGCTTCAGCTGCAACCGTACTGGCCGACCTCATGGCTCACACACAGCTAGGTCAGTTCTCACTCCAACTAACCTCTCTTCATGTCTTCAGAACAGACCTACCCTCTGGCTTCATCCACTCTGTTTTTAGATTTATATGTCTTCTAAAACTCAGATGCAGGTTAGGGCCCTGCTGAAAAGAAAGAGCAAAATGTGTGCTGCTGAAAGAAATAGTCCACCTAAAAAGGAAAATTCTGTCATATTTACTCTATATTACATATTTACTAGATTCAAACTCCAAAATAACAAAACAGCACTATAAAGTGCCCTATATTTAAAGTCTTCTGAAGCCATACAGTAGCTTTGTGTGAGGAAAAGATAAATAAAGGCTTACATTTTGGTCTATTCCTGACACAAAGCTGTCATATGAATTCAGCAGCCATAATATTCTTCCAAATTGTTTTGTTCTATTCCTTTTTTATGTTCTATGGAAGAGAGAAAGAAAGTCTTACAAGTTTGGAACAATAGTGGTTAAATTATGACAGGCTTTTAATTTCTGGGTGAACTCTTCCTTTAAATTGGATTAACCAACATTTCTTCCGTGGTCAGCCTACACTACTGTTTAAATGTTGGGGTGGAAAAGATTTTGTTGCTTTGTTTGTTTTTAAAAATAAATGTATAATTTTTTTTTTCCCGAAAGATCACATTACATTGATAAAAAGTGACAGTAAAGACATTTGTGATGTTACAGTATCACAATATCACGTTTCTAGTAGAATAGTAAGCAACATAACGGTTTTCAACATTGATAATAATCAGAAATGTTTCTTGAGCTGCAAATCAGCATATTACAATGATTTCTGAATGATCATGTGACACTGTCACAAGTCTGAACTCCGGTGAGTAATGATGCTGAAAATTCAGCTCTGACATCACATGAATAAATTACAATTTAAAAAAATATTCAGTTGGATCACAGTTATTTTAAATTGTAGTAATATGTCACAATTAGTTTTTACTGTATTTTTGATCAAATAAATACAGCCTTTAAAAAAATCATTAAAAAAAATCTTCCTGACCTCAAACTTCTGAACAGTAGTGGACTTAACAAGTGAAGTCTGCTGTTGAACTGCTTGGCTACTGTCTGTTGGCCCGCTAGCTAGACCAGCACCAAAACCAAAAACTGAAAATTCATGCTGGTCTTTTTAGCAGGGTGACTGGAATTGTGTACTGATCTCAGTCCTGGAGCTCTGATTTTGATAACCCTGTCTTACTCCTAAGTGCAAAATCATCAGCATGCTTTGCAATGTTTCTGTTACAGCTCATACCTTAAAAACTTTTTTTTGCATGACATGCTTACACACTGCTTATGTTTACAGCACATGGAGCACTTTACTACTCTGCTGCTGCCCACGGCGATGATAAAAGCATGGTTTTTAATGTCCTGGCTGCATGCTTGCATGGTGCATGGTTGGTTTTTAACTTCTTATTTTTTTCCGCTGAGATGGCATATCTTTAGGGTCCTGAAGCCAATCTGCGCAGATAAAGCCAGCATTGGCCTTGTTAGTTTGACAGGCAAACAAAAGATCTGAGCAGGTTCCAGTACTGCTGTGAAATAATCATTTTTGGTAACCTTCACTGTTAATGAAGGAATATCTCATACAATACTCACCCTCATAGTGTTCCAAGCTTATGATTTGTTTTACAGTGAAACACAGAAAGCGACATTTTGAAGAATGTTCCTGCTGCTGTGTCTTATACAATGAAATAAAGTGAGATATGTGGATCAAATTCTAAATATGACAAAAAGCACCATGAATGTATCGTAAAAGTAGTCCACACACCTGCCATATTTATACTTTAACTCAACACAGGGCTACAGTACATTTCAACACTGTAAAAAACTGTCAATTTTAACAGTAAAAGACTGTAAAAATGCTATGGTAAAACCTGTTAATTGGTTAACTGTAAGTTCCCTTTCAGTCAGTCACTCCGAGTCATGTTGGTGACCGATGAATTGGTATCTCGCTTAAAAAAAGAAAAAAGTTTGTAAAGAGTGTAAACTAAACAAGCCAATGCACATTGCGATGATTGCATCCAGCTGCCGTTGATCACAGTGTGAGCATAAAAAGGCAGCCGGTGCAAAGCATACCAGCTTTTCGCTTCGGAGCCGAGCGACAACATTGTTCTGCTCCTACCAAACTGCTTTGTGTGTGACGAGTCTTTTTGTGTTGGCGGACGGCACTTCAGTGGTGGTCGTTCCGGTGTCGAGTGGATTGCGCACTTCAGGCTGCACTACCCCCTGTCGTGCTGCAAATGGCCGTTTCCTCTCTGCGTCTCAGCACGTAAAAGAGCATTTCCCTAAAAGAGCCAATTTCTCTAAAAGAGTACAATAAGCGAGTGCGTCTTTGTAAAGACGACGGATCATCTTTTTAAAGAAGCCGTTTCACCCATGCGTTTCTGGTTGCGGTCGTTACCTGGCGCCGGGTGATGGTCACGATCGCTGCCTCACGTGTCTGGGCATTAAACACGCTGAGGTGGCGTTCGCGGAAGATGCGGGAAGATGACCATCTCGGAGCTGCGGGCCAGGCTCCGTTTCCTCCAGGGAAGCAGAGCTCCATTGCCTCTGCCGCGATCCAGTGTTCGGCCTGGCGGCAGCCAGGTGTAGACTACTTGGGCATGACAATGAGGGTGGTCATGATCTGGAAGTTCTGAAAGGGCTCCGAACCGCTACTGACCTCACACTCCGAGTGACGAAGGTCACCGCTAGTTCTCTGGGTCGTGCGATGTCCACACTTGTGGTCCAGGAGCACCATCTCTGGTTGTGTCTAGTTGATATGAGGGACACTGACAAAGTTCGGTTCCTTAATGCCCCTGTGTCCCAGACCAGCCTCTTCGGCAACGCGGTCGAGAGCTTGGCCCAGCAGCTCTCGGCTGCACAAAATCAGACTGAGGCAGGTCGTCACACCCTGCCCCGGCGGTCAGCTGCTGCCTCCACCCGTCCGCCAGCTGGAGCGCCCCAGCCTGCTCATCGCTGAGGGCGGCCCCCTTCGTCTGCCCCTGCTCCCGCGCCGCATCCGCAGCAGCCTCCAGCAAGCGGCACCGTGGAGCTGGGCGTAGGCAGGCAGCCCCACTCATCCAGGCCCCCGTCAAACCTGGCGGTGAGCGAAAGAGCAAGAGGCCCCAGGACGGGTGACCCAGAGAGGGAGGAAGCTGCTCTTTGGGGGATGGTGAAGGCACCTCTCCCTCCCCCGGAGAAGGGCCGGGTGGAGAATCTGGAAAATCTCGATGAGAGAGCGGTTTTCTCTGTCCCTGGGTCCCAGGAGGGCACGGAGAGTCGCAGATGAACCAGCACCGGACCACACTCATCCTACTCCATCGCCAGCAGGCAGCAGCGGGCGGTTCGAGAGCATCAACAAAGGCCCTACTCACGCACCTGTGCCAAACTGTGGAACCAGATAAGCGTTGCACTGCACACTCAGACTCCTCTTCAGTCCGCTCACAAGCCGCCCGAGTTGGGTCCCTGCGTTCCACTTGCACGGTATCTGGGTGCCTGGCTAGCACTGCCCAACCCGTCTCATTGGCTTCTGCGGACCATCAGCCTCGGCTATGCGATTCAGTTCACCCGGCATCCTCCCAAGTTCAGTGGCATCCGCTTCCCGACAGTGAAGGCGGCTGATGCTCCTGTCTTGTGTGCGGATATAGCAGCCCTACTGGCGAAGGATGCGATAGAGCCGGTCCCTCCAGCCGATATGAATACAGGGTTTCACAGCCCTTACGCAGTATGCGTTTCCCCCAGTTAGCCTTCTCGCACAGACACTGTGCAAGGTCAGAGAGGACGAGGAGCAGGTCCTGCGTGTGGCGCTGTATTGGCCCACTCGGACCTGGTTCCCCAAACTAATTCTCCTCGCAACAGCCCCTCCCTGGCAGATTCCTCTGAGGAAGGATCTACTGACTCAGAGACGTGGCACCCTTTGGCACCTGCGTCCAGACCTCTGGAAACTTCATGTCTGGTACCTGGATGGGACGCGGAGGTTCTAGGTGTCCTGCCTCAAGAGGTAGTTGACACCATCACTTCGGCGAGAGCACCGTCTACGAGACACACTTGCGCTTTGAAGTGGAACCTGTTCGTCGAGTGGTGTTCTTCTCACCGAGAAGACCCCCGGAGATGCCCAATCAGAGTCGTGCTTTCCTTTTTGCAGCAAGGGTTGGAGTGAAGGCTGTCTCCCCCAATCAGAGTCGTGCTTTCCTTTTTGCAGTAAGGGTTGGAGTGAAGGCTGTCTCCCTCCACCCTTAAAGTCTATGTTGCTGTGATTGCTGCTAACCATGACCCCATGGAAGGGAAGTCGGTAGGGAAGCATGACCTGGTCATCAGGTTCCTTAAGGGGGGCAAGAAGGTTAAATCCTCCCCGGCCCCTCTCCATACCCTTTTGGGACCTGTCTCAAGAACACTACAGCAGGGCCCATTTGAGCCTTTGCAGTCAGTCGAGCTAAAGTTTCTTTCAATGAAAACTCTGCTCCTGCTTGCACTGGCCTCCATCAAGAGGATAGGGCACCTGCACGCATTTTTGGTCTACGATTCGTGCCTAGAGTTTGGGCCGGCTGACTCCCAGGTAATCCTGAGGCCCCGACCCGGCTATGTGCCCAAGGTTCCCACTACTCCCTTCAGGGATCAGGTGGTGAGCTTGCAAGCGCTGCCCCCGGAGGAGGCAGACCCAGCCCTAGCTTTGCTCTGTCCCGTCCGAGCCTTGAGATGCTACGTAGACCGGACACAAAGCTTTAGGACCTCAGACCAGCTCTTTGTCTGTTACGGAGGCCGGCAGAAAGGGAATGCCGTCTCTAAGCAGAGGATGGCCCACTGGATTGTGGATGCCATCACCCTGGCTTATCAGGCACAGGGTGTACCCTGCCCGCTCAGGTTGCGAGCTCACTCTACTAGGAGTGTTGCATCCTCCTGGGCGCTGGCTCATGGCACTTCACTGACAGATATTTGTAGAGCTGCGGGCTGGGCGACCCCCAACACATTCGCTAGATTCTATAGCCTTTGTGTGGAGCCGGTATCCTCCTGTGTTCTCACCTCAAACAGGTATAGGTGCTGAGAGGCCCCGGTTTAGTGTCGGCTTGTTAAAACTGCTCCAGAGTGTCCGTACTGTAGGCCCTGTCGAGCTCCTCCGTCCCCTCAGCAGCCAGACGTGGCGGAACGTTCGGTGCCAGGCCCTCCCTCACTGAATCCGTGAGAACCGGTAGAGGGCTGGGTTCCATATGTAGAGGCCTAAGTGGTTCCCATATGTGTAAAGTCCATGATATAGCCTCAGAGCCCGTGTTTCCCCGGCAGATTTCTGCCATTTCCATGAGGGTTACAATCACCTCTAATCTTCCTTATGCACCTAAACGGATGTCATATGTGTAAGTGCTTCCGAAACCTCTTTTGGGAAGGATGGGGCTTCCGCAACGTTCCTGTTCCAAGTGGAACGGGTAAGTTTTCCCAGTGTTATCCAATCTCACTGAGTGGGTAGGGCTATGACAACAGTGACTGGTCTTGTTGTTGCGAGCCCCGGCCTACACCACAAAGGGGCGCAGGCGGCTCGCACAGGACACTGGAAGGGGCAGCATCTATGGTGCTTTGGTAGGGAACCCAATTCGTCGGTCACCGACGTGACTCGGAGTGACTGACTGAAAGGGAAAGTCTCTGTTACGTATGTAACCTTCATTCCCTGAAGGAGGGAACGGAGACGTCACGTCCCGTCGCCACGGCTGCTGTACCACCGCTGAGCGG